TGTCATGTCGGCGTTGCAGATGACGTGAACATGAATAGAATGAAGCAGCTTTGAATCGACAAAATCAACTTCATTCACACTCATTGGCGACTGTCAGCTTTTCCAGGAGAAGCAAAGATAGAGAGCCCAAGCATCCAATCCTCCACATAATTAAATTAGTTTCCAAATGCAAGTTAAATTTACAATAAATTCAAATAGCTTTTACTTCTGATCACAGATCACTTATGTTTGCAGTAATTACATTGCCCACATGCGCTGCTGGACGCTGTACTGTTGTACGTTGGATAAATAGACCTTGATGTGATTTGAAGCGCCATTATCACAGTCGGTGAATGGTTCTTGGAAGCCTAAACTGGATCGTAAGCCAGTCATCATCTTGGACAAAATTAGACAATTTAGACTTTAACCCAGGTCCCAGGATTCTTGTGTACACAACAGCAAATTTCATAGAGCAGAAATGCAAAATAAAGCTCAAACACAGTAAACACAGTAAACAATAAAGAAATATGTAAAAAATAACCCTGGTTCATGAAAACTCGTCCCTGCTAATGTTGCTGTTGACGTAATCACTGGTAAGAAAGCATTATGCGTATCGCATTCTCATGGCTGCAGGCTGCTCGTATTTGTGAATCCTTGCATGCGAATGTTTGACACCTAATTCACACGTAATAGAGATGGGCAGTATTTTAATTAAAAGTATTTAAAATACATATTTAATCACTTTTAAGTATTTTGTAATTTATATTTTTTTGGACGGAAAAAAAAATCAGATGTAATTTGTAACAAAATACTTTTTTAAAATAACAAAATATGTCATTTTATTTATTTATTTTCTATCACTTTAGGAACTTTCATCGCCAAGCTTACAGACTTAAATATCCTATCTCAGTCTAAATCACATGACACACCATGTTGGGCCCAGCTTGCTGTTTATTATGACCAGTAAGGCAAGGAAAGAAGATATTGTGGTGCAAGTAGGGAGTGAAATATACTATCAGATATTGCTCCCTGAATGTTACTTTAGGAGAGAAAAATAGAGCAATTAGCAAAACAGCAGCACTGTGCTCTATAGGCCTAACAGGCAGGCTCAGACAGCGGCATCTTGTGGTTCGTCATATAGGGAAGCCTTCATTAGCGATTAGTCAGGTTAGCTACTTTCGTTCCTAAGGCCAAAATCACCAACAATCACCAACAATCACCAACACTAATCCTTTGGTTTGGATCTACTCCACCATACCGTTCTAAAACAATCATATGCAAAAAATGGGGAAATATTCCATCATTGGTCTGGCGATATTTCACTGCAGAATTTGGTAATCTGAGGTTAGAAGGACACATTAACATTATGGGACCTCCTCTTGGCCAAAGAGCACAGCTGAATGTTTCTGCCTGACTGACTCCTTGTTCATTTTATTATTAAAAAAAACTTTAATTAATGCAGTAGTAACATGTGACCCACAGTTCAGAATTTAGTCTCATCAGACCAGCCTGAGAACAAACCCAGCTTCCTCATCAGTGCTGGATCAGTACAGATCACACATTTGGTTGCATATGAGAAAGTCGCCCATTTGCAGTGTTTGCTTGTGACCCTCAGGGTACAGTCATGACCTGTTGTCGTCTGTAGCAGATAACACAATCTTCAAACTATGGGTTTGAGAGCATTCACTGCATTAATGTTTTTATTGCGTTACCCAAGGGCGGAACATCCCTGGAACTTGAATTTTGAACCTTCCTTGGAGCCGGCTGAGCTCCTCTTTCCAGACGACAGGATGTCTTGGTTCTATATTGACGTTCACTGTGGAGAAAAACAAACTCATCGCTTCCTTAGTGAAGGCTAAAAAGCAAAAATGTGTGATCTATGTATGCAACAGATTTTTTTTTAAAGAAATGCTTGAGTTGTTAGTGAGGGAACCGCAGGGCCAGCCCCCCCTGTGCAGAGGCGGAGGTGTAACTGCCCCCATGATGTCGTGTCTGTCCGCCTGGTGTGGCGGTCACTGGGTCTCGTGTGGCGGTCACTGGGTCTCGTGTGGCGGTCGCCGGGTCTCATGGCATGGCGGTCACTGGGTCTCGTGTGGCGGTCGCCGGGTCTCGTGTGGCGGTCACTGGGTCTCGTGTGGCGGTCGCCGGGTCTTGTGGCATGGCGGTCACTGGGTCTCGTGTGGCGGTCGCCGGGTCTCGTGGCGTCACGAAGCCACGCAGCACGACAGACAAGCGCGTTACTCCCCAAAGCACCGCTATGTGCTTGTGCTCCAGCTGCAGGATGACAACCCAATATCCTTCTTTTTTTTAAACCAGAGCACCAGTGCTGCCCCCCCCCACCCCCCCAAACAGCATTGAAGAAAGGAGCCTTGTTGAAGGAGGAGAGGGGGATGGGGTCCTGGGGGGGGCTGTGCGGCGCGCCGGCGGGGCTGACGTCCTCCTGCGTCTGTAGTGCCTGTGACGTCATGGCTGCTTCTTGGCGGTGGCTCCGCCTGCTATTTTTAGACCCCCCAGTTGTACGTCTTTAATCACACAGCATTGTGCGTGCATGGGTATATTTAGCTGGCTCTCCCTGATTGGACAGAGACTTTGCACATCATCCAGGCATGCATGGGAGCAACATGGCTGTGTGTGTGTGTGTGTATGCCTCCATACTGCTAGTTGGCATAACTCTAAACTGCATTTCTCTTGGGTTTGTGTGTGTGTGTGGGGGGGGGAGGGTGTTTTGGAGGCTTCCTGCCATTGTCCCCCAGGGGCACGGTGCCAAGACTATTCGAGTCCAAACACTCCAGACAAGGGGGCCCGACCAGATATTATCACTGGCTGGCTGCGAGACTGCCACTGCACTCACACTGCCTTTTGATGTGACCGTGATGAGTCATCCTCGTTGCCTGGGCAACGGCTGCTCCTGGTTCCAGCCTCTTCCATCAGGGATCATTCCCCCTCACTGCTGTGAGACAGAGGCTAGTGTCGTCACCATCAATGGCTTTTAGTCTTAATAAAACCAAGCCATTATCGCAGTTTAACGAAAGCAGGTCTGTGACAAATTCCGTTTCAGAATCGGGCAAAGCTCATTTTCCTGTACTGATGGATCCTGATAGAAATTGGTCCATTTTAACAGTGGCTAAAAATCACGTTCGATTTATCGTGAACACGTTTGGGAAGTGATACAGTATTAAAAGCTGTTTACTCGTTAATCTCAGGTCTGAACGTATTTAATAGCCTTTTTAGCTCCTTTTATTTTCTTTGATTATGAAAAATATTTCCAAAGATGTCGGGTGTGCATTTGCATGTTTTTTTCTCAGATTTTCACAGTTACACAAGATTCAAAATGCTGTGATTTATGCTTGTTTTGCCAGTTTTGTCAATTCACTCTGCTGTCCAGAGATGTCTTTCTGTGAGAGGAAACATTTTAAAATGTCCATGATGCGTGGAACAGCACTGAAGCATATTGTTTGTCCTCTCTGCATCCTTCTGTTGCAGGTGGCTTGATCTCAGTAGAACACATTATTCTTGTCTTGGAATATATAATTCTTTTCGAAATAAACTGGAAATTGTTGTTATGGGTTGGTAGTGCACTACTTGTCTTTACCACAAGAGGGCGATCATGCTAAGGATTCTTGCCCGTGTGGTGCGTCACGGCAATGTTCTCCATTTTGTGAAAGTAGGATTTTAGCATTTTCCACTAGATGGCATTATTAAATCGAGGCACGTACTATTGCTTAATACACGGTACATTCCTGTACAAGTAAACCGTACTACAATTTACCGTATATTCACATAATAATTAAGACGTTACTTTATGTAATCTAAAGATGTCCTTATTACGTTGTTATAACAATTTATTTCATTGTTCTGACTGTTACATAGCAAATAAGTCTTTTAAACCATCTAGTACATTTTAAGTAAATCGTGCTGACTGGCGCCTGATTGTTGTTCGTTATAGTAGAATTTCACTGCCACCTAGTGGTCATCTCGAGGTGTGCATTTAAGGCAGATGCAGTGTTTACCTCAACCATACCTTATCCGTTGTTCTGACGAGTTGAGCTACCTATCGAGACGTACTATCGAGCCTTTTAGCGCATGTGCAGTTCCACCGTTTTGGGGATTAGAGTTAGGTTTTAGGGGTTTTCGGGGGTTAGGGTAAGAGTTAGGGCTATCGATTAGCACTAAGGTAGCCTAACTCGACAAAGTAGCCCAACTCGACAGAACACCGTAACAGGGTTTACAGCTAAGATCTGTAACCATTATTTTAAGATGACCAACCGAAATGTTGAGAGACAGTAGATACGTTTGTAATGTTACTGGTTATGGCGAAGTTCAGAAGTTATAATTACAGTATAGTAAAGTTCCTCAGTAAAGTTGGCCTATGTATGTATGCATGTCTGTATCTATCTATCTATGTTACACTAAAGACAAATGTTTTGTACACTTCTTACATTTTTACCAAGGGAAATTATAACGAATGGTACAATTGCGTATCACAAAATTGAGATCTGACATAAGGCTTGTCCATTAGGTTTGCTCAAAAATGTGTATTTGTGTCTTCTGATAGCATTGCTTTTGGAGACCAGATTGCGAGCCGTTCACGTGGAATTTGTTCCTGAATTTCTGAATAACTGAAAGCAGTCCATTCCGATTTATCCCGGAAAGGTATAGAAGTGGGGTAGTCGCATCGCTACACCTGTCTGGAGCCGCTAATTTTAGCGGTGGGCATCGCAAAGTGGCGGACGGCTGCTGCGCTAGAAACGGATCGGGGTTCGGACGTCGCTCGCTTATCCTGAAGACGCCCAGTTAATGTCCAGCTTTGTGAAAGAGAGGAGTAACGCACTGTAGTTCTGGATGAAGTCGGTGCGTTACAAATAAGGATACACAGCAATACTGAGTCAACAGTGCAGAGTCACTTAAATTACATCGCTATTTGTCTAAATGAAATATAAATTAGTGTGGCCGTAGAAATCTGTAATTGCGTATTCCATTGTTACAAAAACAGCTAAAAGTAAAAACGAGATATAAACAAGTCAATCTCAAGTATTGCATTTATTAGGAGACATTCCTTACAGTAGCGAGTCCCAACCCAGTACTCGGGGAACCCCGGGAGTCCACGTTTTTGCTTCCTCTCAGCTCCCAGCGCGCCTGTACCAGGTATTCCGTGTTCCTGATTGGCTGGGGGCTGGGAGCTGGGAGGGAGCAAAAACGTGGACTGTCCGGTTCCCCGAGGACTGGGTTGGGAAACACTGCCTTACAGAGTCAAACTAGAAATTTCATCAATGGAACAGAGCTGGTGACAAATGCTAAAAATTAACAATTAAAATTAAAACAATAATCATACAAAGACATATGGTCAAAAACACTTTTTTAAAACTGGTGCACTGCTGACTGCTTCATATTTAAGAACATTTACAGAACTATCAAGAACACTGGTGTTTTCCTCAAACCCTGATAAATTATATAATCTCAATTTAATGAATTTTATCTTGGAAAGATTAGCTTTGGGGGAGGGCCTTGATCGCGACCCCCTCCTCCACTTGCCGAGAAATTCCTTTCAGGCTGTAGGATCAAACACGTTGAGTGCAGAGCTTATGACACATTCTGCCCCGTCCTGTTCAGCTGCTGATTATACCTACAGAAAAACAATGTTGTTAAGATCTTAGTAAGAGAGATGAGGACACCAATGGAGAAAGTGCCAACATGGTCGTCTTTGGGAGACTGAGAAGACCGAAACTCATTCGATCAACTGGATGACAGACATGTGACTTAGACTCAAATATGCTGAGATAGCTGTAACAGAATATTCACATTAAAGAGGAAAAACAAAGTTAATGTATAACGAGATGTGGCCAAGAAGTGAAGGGATAAAAAATGAAATGTACAGTATTTGTGCGTGCGGCAATAGAAACCTATTACTTTGACATTGTGGGGACATTGTTTCAGTCTGTGATTGCAAACAAAATACAAGACTTTTGGCATTTTTAGTTATTTTGTTTGGTTATTTATGGTTAAGGTTAGGGCTGAGTAGGGGTTATGGTTTGTCATTGCTGGGATTAGGGTTATGTCAGTAGAAATTAATGGAATGGAGAGTCGCCACAAAGATATGAATACAAACACGTGCGTGTGTGTGTGTGTGTGTGTCTGTGTGTCTGAATCTAGATCTGGTGGGGAGACACATACCTCCAGATTCTGAAGAGCTGGGAACTGCCCGCAGCTCCCACAAAGAAATTGACAGCAAAGAGGAACCAGTTCTTGGGAATGATGACCAGTGAGTAGCGGGACCAAATGAATCCTGGAGGACAGAAGACAGGGCGTGAGACATCCCACCGCAAGCCTGCCACAATTCAACAATGAGAGACCTCATTCACCCATCACATGAAGGAGCAGTGCATGCTGGGAACACAGAAGCAGGAACCAGCAAAAAACACACAAAAATGGGATCTGGGGATCTCTGACGTGAACATGTGCTTGACCCTTCCAACGTAAACAGAGCAACAGACAGATGGAACGGCACATGGTCCATTCTGGCGTCAATGAGCCCCCGTGTCTTTGCATACAAGGTGACATATCTTGTTCCACAAAGGTGACTCACAGTGGGACACACCTCCAGTGAGCTACACCAGGGTGAACCACGACCAGCTGGGTCTGCGTTACATAAGGTACTGAGGTACAGAACAGTGGCTCTTACCCCTGAGGCCTGCCTTAAGCAGACTACCACACTGAATAGACCGCTGACTAAATATCTGGCACTTGCAGCTGCACCATTTAAGATTTGAACATGTGATCCAAAGGCTGCAGGTTCCCAGGGGAGAAGCAGACATCATATTTTAGGAGGGGGGGGGGATATGGAGCCGTTAAGTATTGGCTCTGAATTTGCAACGTAAGTAGCTGCTTTGATTTTCTGCTTCCCATCTGAGAGTCATAAGGAGCAGATCTGAGAGACAAATAACTAACTAAAAACAAAGTAACCTGACTGAGGGGGGGAAGAAGCGGCTGGAGTTTGAACTTAGCTGCACAGTTGGAGTATTACAGCAAGGGGGTCAAATATTCAGCTATTTCCCAATAGACAGCCAAGTCAAATATTGAAGCTTCCCACCCCAGTGTTTCTAAATGACATACATACCTTTTGCTTTTTGCCTTCTGAGTTGAATGGGTTGCATTTACCCTACAGACCTGTTATGTTAGATGAGCGATTGGCCAGGGATAGGTGGAAGTTTCTGGTGAAAATAAACACTTTGTGGACCAATGAGAAGAGCACACAAAGGCCAAAGAATCCAGGATAAGGCAAAACTGTGGTGTGGTGTTATCAGGTAATACCCAACACGTGGTCAAGGATGAGCATTCACCAGGCAGCTCATACGATCACACACTCGGCCCTATCGCTGATCCCAGAACAGTGTCAATGAGGAGGAAGCCTGTCTGTCAGAGCTGCACAAACGTTGAATACATAGTGCAGCCTTTACAGACCTGACATTTTGTGGGCCAAACAGAACAAGGATGGAAAGACTGGATTCACCATCCCAAACCTCAGGTACTTCTATAAGTCCTGTGTCTGCTGCAGCAGGTTCAGGAGCAGCAAATGCAAGTCATGTGATTCCCTAGTGATCCCGCACCTGTTGCGGTCAGGACTGCAGACTGGGACGCGCTGAGTTTCTCCGCAGGCCGAGTCATATCTGCCAGGCCGGCCATAACCAAGCCCTGCAGGAAAAGGAGACATGGACACCCTCGCTGAAATGACATCACTCGCCCTCTCGCCTGGCTCAGCACTATGGCTGCATCTTGATCTGATGCTGAAGTCCGTATTTCGAAACTACTTTTGCTTACCCATTTGCAGACCGGAGCCCAGAAAAACACAGTCCTAGGCCCTGTGAGGAAGGGAATCGATACAAACGGCAATATCAGACTCTGTCTGGCAGAAAGGTTAAAGACTCACTGATACTTACTGAGCCTAAGAACAAAGAAGTCTGGAAACCTTCACAGGCTAAGTTGTGACACTATACAATATTCTAATAATGTAAATGGTCTAACTTTCTAAAATCATGCTTTAGCATAAGCAACACGATTATTTTAAACTATGGGTATTTCAGTAAAACTTATAGGTTTCATTTTCATACCATTGTATTTCAGCAAATGCCCAAATGTTTAGTTTTGCAGCATAATGTTTTCCTCTTATTCTGGCTTGGACTCAGGTTTATTAACTGTCTGTGGATAGCGTGTCATTGCGTTTTTTTATGGATCTCAGTGCGGACAGGCTAGACCTCCCCATCAGCTGCTCGGCTCTATAAATAAACACATGTGCGCACTTCTGGCTTGGCTCATTCCAGAAGATCGCTCTTGCTTCCTGAATCTGGACTCTCCGTTACATTCTCAGCCAATCGGCTTGCGGGGCGTCGTCTTGGCGCCTCCTCTTCAGTCACTTGCTGTGCTGGGTTTCTATCGTATCACTGTTGGCTGGATACGGACTGATACAGAGTCTTAATTGTGTTTTGTACACAAATCGCTAGGGTTAATCTTTTGTGATAGCCCAAAGTTGACCTTCAATGAAAAAATGACTTCACCTTCACAGTAGAGACAAGAGGTTTATTTTAAAACAATGGTTTAAATGCATGCAGCTGATTCATAAATGCATGGACCCATAAAATATATTTTTTTGACAGAGGGTATTTGTAATATGGCTGCATAGCACAACTGTGACATTGCACGGAAAAAGGGGTTACATTTCTGTACCGCATTATGAAATACGGCAAACTTCACCTCAGTCACCTCAGATTATTAAGAAATTGTCGCAGTGATTTCTCCGCGTTTATTATTATAATAATAGTTGTAAGATATACAAAAAAAAATGTATACACTAAGGACGATCGTGAAACGTTTCAGACCACAGGACTGAGTTCGTTTGTATTTTTAACCTCGTTGCTTGCATGGTTAAATTTAAGCAGATGCCGGATGATCGGTATCTCCACAGATCTACAGCACTGCCAGTTTTTGAGTATGATAAAAGCATCATGTCACTCGCTTTGGCGTATTTTGGATGAAAGGCAGAAAGGACATTACACCTAGACACGCATATATAGATCTCTTTTTTTTTAAAAAAAAAAAAACTTGTTTAAATCACAAATACCTTGGAAATTAAATGCAGCCGGTTTAAGTAATATTATTCAAAGGGCTCCGAAAAATAAGGTCATTTATTCATTGTGGAGCAGGATTCTCTGCAGAATAGCTGACCCCATTCACTGGTGTTGGAACTAGTCCTACATGGTGCGTGGATGATTTTTGACTAACTGCGTAAAATCCCAAGTGTCCCTTCATGGTTGACTAGTTCACATATTGCATGGCTCATGGTAACAAAAACGCGAACATATGGCGCTAAATTCAATCTTCAAATACGGCTAAAGCACTCTGCGTGCTAGTCCGCCGCATGCATCGCTATTTTCTTACCTGCTGGGTGGTTGTAGAAGGGTCTCAGTTTAGCCGGTAGCATGTGCTCGATCTTGTCCAGGGTCCTGTGATAAGTAGCCCTCAGTCCGACGAAAGCCATGTCTGTTTTTTTCTCGGGAACGCGGATTTACTGATGTGACGACGACCGAAGTAGTGTGTATATTAAAAAATAACAGCACGTTCAGTCAGAAGCAATGCGGAGTACGATCGATCGACCAAAGTATGCCGATGCTGTCCCTTCACTGTTCCCTGTCCCAGTCAGGACCTCCCATTGAACACCTATAGTTGCTCATCCTCAGCTACTGGGAAGCTAATTCCATTGTTGCGCTGGTCTAAGGATGCTGCTCCGCGGACCAGTCACTGCAACCGGTAAAGCATAACCCGCCCTCGGTGACATCTTATTGGCTGGCCACCTCCCGCCCCCGATCCTTTCCGCCAAAGGCGTTTCATTGTAACCATGCATTTCATTGTTAGGTGCTAAAGCGTAACGATGTCGTTTTAAATGCATATACAATTGGTTGGTAATGTTTTTCACCTGTACACGGACAACCATCTAATGTACTTTGGACGGGTTACATTTAGGCTATTTGGGATTAGAACGAAATAGACTAGTTTGAGGCATATTCAGTACCCCGCATCCACCCACGTTCAACAGCGCCCCCCAAAGCAAGAGGGCAGCTGTGTTGATTTTGTGATATCCTGACCCTTAATAATAAGTATAATAATTGGAAATGTTCCAAAACATGATTTAGCCATTATATGAGCTGCATAACATATTGTATTTATCGAAACCCATAAGTAGGCTAATGACGTTTACCTGATTCAAACAACTAACTTGTTAATGAATGTTGGTTGGGCTTTTGTGATATTAAGAACTACAGATGTCAAATACAACTCCGTTGGGTGTTATAATTACGGCTTCGTGAATTAAAAAGTTAAACGGATTTAACTCACAATTCCTTTAAAATACGGATTTTGCTAAGGTTTTAATAGGGATGTCAAACTCTCATCCTCCTGGCCGCAGTGTGTGTTATTTTTCTCAGAACCTCGGGTCTTATAAGCCTTAGCGAAAGATTCTCACCGCAAAGTTATATATTTTGTAAGATGGCCGGAACTGGCTGGGATAAGGAACACAACGCCTCCGATTACGAGGACAAACACCACAACCCATAGATGGGTTAGGGTTAGGGTCATATATCTATGACCACAACCATAACCACAACAGACGCTGCGTGGCGACACGTGACTGTGACACTGCCGCGACGCAGTTGGGGGGCGTGGCGTATCTGTGTTATCGCGATGTTTAGAGCCTGCCTCTCATTGGACGAGAGATCCTGCAGGGCTGGAGAGAGAAGCGAAGTAAATATCCGAAGAGCTACCGAGGGGCACCGCTGTGCTTCCCGTGTAGCCTGGCGGCGGGGGTCGGGACGCGATGATTTAGTTCCGTTCCCGGTGCGACAACAACCTGAAGGGAAGGCAAGCCTGACAACGGCGGAATCAAAGTCCTTTCAATGTTATTTTTAAAAGTCGGGCTGTTTGAGCATCATGTCCGGCTCCGGTAATCTAATTTGGGATGTGAGGAAGCGCTCCATCGGGTTTCACGACCCGAATTCGATCAGGATTAACTACCTGGGTAAGATAATGCGAAGGCAGGGCCAAGGGGCACCGTCTTCGGGGACAGGGGCTCGCAGGCTGCAGCTGTCAGAAGAAGAGATGCTTGTATTTCTGTTTCCGTGCGGGCTGCCTCTTAGCCACGGAGTGATCGGTTTCATTTCCAAGCCGTCGACGTCTTCAGTGTCTTTGTGGGTGTTTTATTTAGCCGCGTACAGTTTTCTCATTTTTCTGTTGTTTATCGGAATGTGCTTGATTTCTGTCCGTCACAGCATCATAACGGGCTGCTAGTTTATATACATTTGCCCCGTTCAAGACTTTGTACCCCGAGACATCAAGCCGACCCTAATACACATTAGGAAACTTTCTATTTTGCGGAGAGTTAGTTAATTAGTTGGATAATTAGTTGGTTAATCATCTTCCCGCTGCGTTGATGGTTAAAGCTCGTCCTCGGCGCAGCCGGGCGCTTTTCTCGCCGCCTCGTCTCCCTCTTTCCCCTTATCTGCTTCACGAGTTGCCTGTTATTGTCCTAAAGAAAGCTTCTGAATATACACGACAGTCAAGTAACACACGCAGGCCGCACGGGGTTGTTTTTTTCTATCTTCTTTCCCTAAATTTGGTTGTTTGTTGTTGACTCAAAATAACATCTATTAGTGTTAACGGCATTCAATTAAATAATGCCTACAACTGTTGAAGTTTAATATTTGATACGCGTATTGTACATGAGTAGCGGTCGGTAATTAAAAGCGTGTAAGCTTACGTCGCAGTCCGCAGTCCCGTTCAGATGTGCGTTTGTTTACAGGCTCTCCTGGCATTTGGCCGGGAGGCTGCCTTTTAAAACTGCGACTACAAGTTCACGGTTTAGTTTGTTTTTATCACTCGTCAAAGAGGAAAATGTGATCAGACAGAAGGCGTTGTCCTTTTTTACGCTAAATTAAGCATAGAGTGAAATAAGGCCGCCGTGCGCCCTTTGCCGTGCTGAGCTTTCGCTCCCGTCGATTGATGTTTAGGTTTTAAGTACTTAACAACAAAAAAACTTGCATATCATACCTTTAGAAATGTTTGTGGTTTCTGTGAAAACTATTTTCTGCTCAGTCCCATAGTTTTTTGTACTCAAGCTTCTTTTTTCATAATGTCTAAATGTTTATAAATTTAGTTTCGTGTTGGCCTGTAGTCACCCAAGTGAATGCATATCGCATTTCATATTGCGAATCCTCCGCTCTTGTTGCGGCTTTGGAGGTGTTGCATTTTCTTGCATGAAACGGACCTACCTGTGCTCACTGAGACTGTGACCTGCCCGTTTGCCCTGTTAAGGTCACTTGTGTCGTCTCCGCACTGCCTTGGCTATTAATATCTGTAATGCTCTTTTTGTCGAATAAATCTGTTGCTGTTTTTGGCAGTACATAAAGTAAACTGCAATCACACTCAGCCCATAGATTTTTTTTTAATTCAGTGGGTCAGATAAATCAGACCCCGGTATGGGATTGTAGTAGCCGGAAAAGGAGTATTATAAACCAGTTTCTCGGTGACTCGTTTTGATGAAGAATGGCAAGTTCGTAGCTGATGAAGGCATTTGTGTTCGGTTGTCTCTGTCAGTTCAGAGTAATAATGACCAGGGCTGGGGTACCATTGTTGACCTGTTTTTGTTTTTAGCTATGGGGACATACATTGTCTGTTGGCTGTTAAGTTTGCCCATTGGGGTGGTAGGTTCACCTACAATAATGCCCCCCCAGTTCATGGCGGTGGACTTACTGCTTCAAGGGCAGCAGAGGCTGGAGAGTGGTCAGGTGTCGGTCTGAAGAGCGTGTGGATTGAGTTATTGTTTTTGGATTCTGCTCCAGACGGCAGTGTAGCAGAAGGGCTTGTGTGTGCCTAAGGCCCGGGTGTTGGGCTGAGTATCTGTCTACTTTGGCTGCGGAGATGCTGGGCCTTGTACAGAAACGCAGAGCCCATGGGTGTTTGTGTCAGTGCCGGCATGACCTTGGTCCAAACTGCATTCAGTCGACTCCGCCGTGCTTCATTTGTGTTTTCTGGCTTTGGTGTACAGACATTTTTGTGCTGTCCTCCCATCTTAAGTTGTTGTGTGGCTTGTTTTGGCAGGCAGTCTTTAGCTTTGCGAGTTCAGATTTGGCTGTTGAGTAGTTCATGCAGATTGACAACACCCTAGCAGATCCCATCGGACACCTGCTGCGTCTTCCCTTGCTGTCCCTTCTTGTACACCCACCTATGTTTCTAGTATCGCTGCCTTAGTAATATATGTAATTTGCATTAGCCCTGCAAGGTAACAGGTGAATTATTCAGAATGAGCCTGGCTGGTCTGCTGAAGTGGCTTTGCGTTGCTCTGTCTAGCACAGTGTGACATACTCCATCCTTATTCAAGGCCAGTATGCTTTTCGCTAAACACCTGAAAGTTTGTAGCCAGACCCCAGCAATCTGTGCTTGAAGATGCATTTGTCTCCAGATTCTTGGGTCAAATCATGACAGCATTACAGAGGGGAGGGGGGATGACCATCTGTTCAGTAATTTTGAATGCAAGCCTTTTATGAAAATGACCAATACCTCACCTTCCTGAAACCCAGTCTGTGAGATTTGCAGCCAATCAGGTGCTGTGCCAGTGCCTGCGGATTTTAGGCGGCAGTTTAAGACACCCTTCTATGCCCATAGCCTTGTGACTGAGGACTGCATGTGGACACAATCCCAGACCTGCTTTGTGCAGCTGTAGTCTTCCAACTTCTCCATTAATGCCATAAATGCACAGCATATACAGTTACATGGATGCTTTACCAGTTTATGCTTGACGTTCCTTAACATTGGTCTCATTAATGCACTGCAGTGCTCTACCCCAGCTCAGTAAGTTTGCTGACCTGACTGTCGGAAATGAATCCTAGCTGTTGGGGTCCTCTTAAGATGGATAGCAGCTGTGCAGAGAGCTGATGTCCCACTTTGGGTTTTTTTTAAATGTCTGATTTGATTGGCCAGAGACTTGTATCCATGGGTGGAGCTTAAGAGGTTTTGCTGCTAGCCACCCAGGCTAGCTCAGTAAAGAATATAGTCCGGCATTCAAGGGTTTTTTTTTTTGTACTTGCCCTTTGTCTAAATTACTTGCCACAGGCGAGTGGGTGTGATCAGGCTCCCTGCTTGTATCAGTTGTGTAGGATATTGCAGGATGTCATACCGGTTGAGTAAGACACCTTGGGGGGCGGGGGGGGGCTGTGCCGGCCATTCTTCCGGGGTCTGGTTCTGCTTGGCCCGCCGCTCTTATCAGCCGGGGACGATTTTGTTGATGCTGCCCTGGCCTGCTGTGTGGCCCGGCTAGGAAACCAGGTCCCTACTGTAATGAAGTCCAACGCGAACAGTGCGTCTGTTCCCCCAAGAGCACCGTTGTGTTCCTCTGGTTTACCGCATCTGTTTGTTTCAGTCTTGATCATGACTGTGAAATTCACACGTGCCTCCAGTTACTTCAGGTCATTTCTGGCCTTTGAAAGGACGTTTAAAAGCTTGCTGATGAAATGCCAACTTCTGCAAAAAAGCAGCTCTGAGCCACAGCAAGATGCTTCTAGGCTCTTTATTACGACTGATCAGAGCCTTGCAGTGGAAACGCTACCCTGGAACCGTAAGTGCTCCACTGGCCCAGGGGACGAGGCTTCGTTTCGGTCGTCGCTTGGTGTTCATCATGCAGGTGAGATGGTGCCCTTTGGAGATGCCCATCTTGTGATATGCCACACAGATCCTTCTGGTTGGCTGGAGTCGTCCTCTTCTCGCTGACCCCCCAGTGTTGCTCTTGTATGACGGGGCCTGAAGCTTTTTCTTGCATGAAACGGACCTACCTGTGCTCACTGAGACTGAAGCTTGCCTGCTGGTGCAGAGATTTCAGAACTGCTGCTTGCAGCTATTGTTTTGAGTCACTTTCAGTCTGTGTTGTAGAACTCTGTTTTGTCTTTGGATTTTATTAAACATGATTAAAAAGAAAAAGCTGTTAACCTGCTGCTATTAATTTGTGGACTGTGAGCTGTAATTTTGGTTCTGCACCATCCTCCTATTTGCATCGGCAAACACTGACGCATAGCTGATTAGCATGGAGAGACGCCGCTTTTTGGACTCTGGAAATGCTGCCTTTCCCAAAGACGGTACTCAGGCAATGGCTGTCAAAGGCTGTCCTATAGGCTGCTCCTACCTCTTCCTGGTGGGAGTGACTAATCCATGACCACTACCCCCAACAGTGAACCGCCTCCCTCAGCTTTCTGTCACATATAATTAAAAAATCTCCCTTATCTATCTTATCTGGAGGATTAGCCTGGATGTGATGGCAGCGTACAGACCCCAGACTTTCTTTGGCTGCTGTGCTGTGGTGGGGGGGATGGGGGGCTTGGTGCTCTACCCCACCCCACTTCAGGCCCAGAAGCTCCGAGTTGGTCTGCGTCATCCAGCCTGTTGTGTATCACGCCTGGTCTATTTTTAAAGTCTTTCTCCATGCTGGGGTGGAGGGGTATTTTTGGAACATACCCCCATACCTCTTATCCCGAAGTTGTTCCACAGGGTTGGGAGTTTTCATTTGGTCCTTTGTTCTTTGTGAAGGTTGGCAGGGGGTGTTGGGGTGTTTTTGAATCAGTGTTTCCGCAAAGCTAATTGGGTAATGCTTAGTGGCAGTGAAGGAGTCCCCATTCTGTGGCTTCATGATGTAATGGTGGCGTCACATGGGTTTGTTTACCAAATGTGTTTTTTCTATTTTAACCCTGGGGAACCCAGACCACCTTATCATTATAGGAAAAATATGTCCATTGGCTAAAATGATCATACAGACCCAGTGAACTCAAAAACAGGTGTTTTGTAAAAATAACCCTTTCCCAGTCCATGTTATGAATGTGCCATATACGGCCCACTGGACTGTTCATGCTGTTCCAACTTGTTAATGTCACCTATGAAATAAGGACAGAAAAGAAGAAAAAACCAAATCTTTGCAACATTCTCATTTTCAAAATGCATTTGAGTTTTTCTTTTCATCATTCACCGTGTGCTGGCAATAAAACACAGGCTTCAAACATGCCAACCCATCAAGAACCAGGTCAAGTGAACAGACCTGCAAAAAGGTGCACTGCACACAGAAAGTTTACTTGTGGTGGGTTGTAAGGTCTGGTGCTCCACCTGTATTCCCTCTGTTTTTGTCTGAGGCTGATGTTGAGCACATGGAACATCATCATCACAGTTGCCAGAAAAGTTTCAAAACATCCAAAACCTAGTTGTACATGTTCAATAAGATCTACACATTATAACTGATGATGCAAAATTTCTGCCACTTACCTATTCACAGCTAGACAGGTGAATCTTTGCAGCATGTGCAGCAAGAACCTCAAAATGCGGTGGGGGCATATTTAATGTGGGGAAAAATCTGGTTAAATCAGTCAGTAACCACTGGATGTCACTGTTACTGGGTCGTATATGGTACAATGAACTGTAAAGTAAAAAAAAATTCTTAACTTTGATGAGTGGGTTGAGTGTAAGGCAGAAATAAAAGGAAGGGTCATAAATGACCCCATGGGTTCCCCAGGGCTACATGCGTCTATCAGTCTGTCCTCTTTGGCCCGGCGACCACTGTGGGACGTCTGTGAGTTGAATCGATGGTAGTTGCATCTTGAAACTGGGCCACAGTTCCAGAAACTATAAAGACCAGTTTTATGATCCTCTGATGAGGTCATCATAGGCTCTCATGATGCATTGGTGGTAGGCTCGTGCACGCTTAGAAGTGAGACGGACCACCAAACAACCTAAATATAGACAACGGAATGGTGGTGAGGGTCTGTAAACTGAAGCACAGGTTAAAAATACACCTTTTGGGTGGCAGGGGGTGGGGGTGTGGGGTGGGCAGGAACTCTCTTCTGGAACCCCTGGTGATGTCATGTGGCAGGCAAGTTGCATCTAAAGTGAGCTTTTCATGTTTAAGCCTGTTTTGTAATAGAAAATTTCAGCTAGCCTCAAGAAGCTGTTCAGTTTTGAAGGGTCTGTTATATGGACTGAACTAGCTGTGACACGATTTCTGTGCCCTCCTGCATGGAGAGGAGACCCATAGCAACTTGTGTGGTAAATGGATGACTATTGTGCAATGAGTTGCTAAAGCTGGTTACTCTTGATGCAGGTGGGGTGAGAGCACTGTCAAACTGACGATATTCAGGAAATGCCTGCGAGGTCGATGCAGGTGGTGGGGGAACCTGTCCTGTTAAATCTTGCGTTCCAAGCGGTTCAGTGAAGTGGGGGAAAATCCCTCTTCTGGCCCAGTTATTGGCATCCATGTGCAGGCCCAGGTATTAGCATCCATGTGCAGGCCCAGTTATTAGCATCCATGTGCAGGCCCAGTTATTAGCATCCATGTTCTGGCCCAGTTATTAGCATCCATGTGCTGGCCCAGTTATTAGCATCCATGTGCTGGCCCAGTTATTAGCATCCATGTTCTGGCCCAGTTATTAGCATCCATGTGCTGGCCCAGGTATTAGCATCCATGTGCTGGCCCAGTTATTGGCATCCATGTGCTGGCCCAGTTATTGGCATCCATGTTCTGGCCCAGTTATTGGCATCCATGTTCTGGCCCAGGTATTAGCATCCATGTTCTGGCTCAGGTATTAGCATCCATGTGCAGGCCCAGGTATTAGCATCCATGTGCAGGCCCAGGTATTGGCATCCATGTGCAGGCCCAGGTATTGGCATCCATGTGCAGGCCCAGGTATTGGCATCCATGTGCAGGCCCAGGTATTAGCATC